GCCAGGAAACCGGTCAAAATCAAGGAGTCGAGTGCAATGGATATTACAACTCATTTTTTCAACTCGGAATAAAATTATTATTTCATCTTTATCAACAAAACAATGTTTTTTTCAAATTTACTAATCTTGTTATTTAATTTTCTAAAATTTGAAACTTGTTGACTTTGTGTTCACTCCTCGCGGATCGGTAGTTGGTACTCGTCTACCGTATCTTTAATTTCATCTTTTGTTGCCGAAAGTTACGCGCAAAGTTGTAACTCCTTGAGCCGGCGCGCGACTTTGTCTCTTTGTATCGCGCAGCGAACAAATAGAAATTTTAAATTAGTTATCCGTCGTGTGCAACTCGTGCACGAACAGGAATGTCTCTACGACCGACCGATTTCGCTTGCCGAACGAAACGAAACGAAACGTGTGTAGTTAAGAAGTGTGCGCCGCGTACGCGAGCAGCCGGGGCTTATACTTTGAAGCCACGACGCACATCCGGCGAAATTGCACTCGATTGTAATGTGAAATGTGAGGCGAGCCGCAGTGGCGCGGCCTTTTGATGATACAGCCATCGGGAGCTGGATGCGAGCGAGAGCAGCCCTATAACTTTCGACGCCGAAAGTCTTTACGATGCTAATGCTACTACTTTCTGCCTGCAGGGCTGTACGGATATAATTTCTACAATTGTAGAGTATGTATAACATATTCCACAAATTGAGCAGCAGCATATTTCTAGACGTATCTACTTCTTAAATTGTGTTTTAAAGTGCATATTTGGAAGAGAACTTAAAAACACATGAATATTTGAAATACATATTGAAATAACTTTTTTTACATCGTGACTAAAGTCCGTGGTTAAAGTACTTTAGTCACGTGTTTAAAATTTGCCTTTTTGTACATCAATACCGTTAAAACTGGTGCTTTAAAGGTGAATGTTGAAAAAATATTTGTTTTACAATGAAAAATTGTTTTTACTCTTGAATAATTCACAATACTACCCAATAACTTTATGATTAATACCACACCCAAACATATTTGAAACAATTCCAAGGTGTTTCTCCAAGATTAATTTTTGACAAATCAGTATACAAGACCGGTCCGCAATCACTCACCACCGCGCATTTTCGAGAATTGCCCTGAATTACTACCGCGCCCGCCTAGATTCACAGAGCTGGTTACAAATTGTAACAATTTCGTAGGTGCGGTGCGCAATTAGGCGGACGCTTAGCGGACATGTGACTAGTGACGGTGCTCAGCCACTAATATCTCCATCCAGCGCCGGCTACGTTTCCTTCCACTTTCATCCACCATCCACCCTCACACATACACTCAAACTCACGCATGTGATAAATCGCGCAAAATGCGGGCCGTAGATTTCCGTGCACCTGCGTGATGAAGGACGAAGGACGCACCGGAGACGGGGATGAGATATGCGAAGGGCAACACATGTCAATGAATCCCGTTGTCAGGCCGAGTTAGTATCGGCATATCTCCGCGAGTGCAGATACTCGGCCCGGCAAAGCTCTTTAATCTCGGCCGCAGGACGAGAACACGAACGGCACCGGAGAGCGGTTGGGGGTGGGTGGCTTATAAGTGGCGCGAGGATTACTCCATCAAAGTTATGACTACATTTTCGCAGGCGGGCATCGACCGAAGCACACAAACACTCAGAGACTAATTATTTGTACGAAGATTTAGTAAAATTTCAAAATTTTTCTTTTTAGAGGAGATTGAATACAAGTGAAATGTTAACCCTCGTTCATTGTCCTTTTTAGAAGGTTTTTACGTGACTTGAACGTTAAATATCTTAAGATACTTGTTATATTTCCACCCTAAGAGTTACTTCTTCTTCCTTTTTCTTATTGCACCCGTTTGTTTTAGTTTAGTTTTCATGACACGTGCAATTCAATCAAATCTTGTTTGAAATTTATTTATTCTCATCTGACAGTTGACGGGTTGATTGTTTGATTGTTTAGTAATGTTTAAAGTTTGACAGTGAAGCAATTGGTAGCAATTGGCAAGTGTAACAAGTCTTTGTTTGACCACTTCGCCGGACGAATTCGGGACGAACGTGTCGTCGCCCCACGGGATTCTAGGTACGGTGGCAGGCGGCTCTCCCACGGGACGACGCTTCCATCGGCGTGACGTGACCCGAGTTGACCGCCGCCGACTTCTGTCCGCACGTCTCGTCCTTCGTCCTTTCTCCTGACATTCGATATAATGTACTTGGATATCAGTTAATTTTTATGATTTTTATTTTTGGTTGAAGAAATTTTTTTTTGTTTAAAAGTTGTTAATTGTGTTGAAGCAGGATAATTATCGCACGCGTTTCCTGCGCTTTGATCAAAAGATGCAACAAAGGGTTATAGTCTTTGTGGTCGCAAAAGGATTATGTGACAGGACGCGCTTTCTTTGAGCGTAAAAATTTTTAATCCGCGCGGTTAGTTTACGCTTCGTTCGTCCTTCGAGCAGCTTCTGCTCGTTAATACGTGCTTTAATGAGGAGCTAACTTTGGTTGATAATTATAACGAAATGAAAATTATTTTGCGCTTTAAAATATTTTTTTATTCAATATTGAGAATAAAAGATGTTGACATTTGGAAAAAATTATATTTTATGTCCTGATAATCCTTTTATTTGTATTTTGTTCAGTTGACAATAGCCATATGAATGACCGCAAATGTCTGCAAATAAAACCGGCCCGCATACATTTAATTTTCCATTTTTCATCGCCGCTGAATTCGGCAACAATTTGCGCACAATTTTTAATAATGCCTCTTGTTGTCTCGTCGCGCAATACACAAAAAAAAAACGCGGCAGGCGCACACAAAACGCATTTGGTTTTTTGCGGTCGCGAGAGCAACTGGTCCGGCTTGTTTGCTCGATTTATTCGCGACGAAGGCAGCCGCGGACCGATGTCCTCGAGCCATATATCCTGGCCGCCCTAGCGACAGGAAACAATGCCCGAATGCCAAATGCCAAATATGCGACGGCATTCAGTGGCACTGCGGTGCTGTTATACTATTTGCACAATTGCAATGGGGCGCATTGTGTGGTGACACAGGATCCCGAATCGAAAGTCCTGCAGCATAAAAATAAACATCAACATATTTTTTAATGAAAAATATCATAATAATCAATTTTAAATAAAAAACATAAATGAGTGAATGACTGTGGCACAAATTTATATTTGAGGCGAGTGACTGCGGTATGAAAACACATTTAACGTTTTTTTTTCTTCTTATTTTTAAAACTTTGCATATTTTTTCTTGCATAATCTAAAAGACTATTACTTTTTAGGGTGTGCAATATTAAGAATGTGAAAGATGGCCACACAAAAAGAATTATTTCTTCATTTACCACGCGCTAACGCTGCTTTAAGCGACGTTTTCAGGGACAACCGCCCGCCCTTTGATCCACAAAGGTAGATTAAACGCTGTCCTGCCGCGCGTCGGGACAAAGAGGGGCGCAACTTAATTTGCGTGTTTTTTTTTTTGCTCTCCTGTGTTTTATACCGGCGGATGTTCGTGTTGTGAGGCGTCGACACTTGGAGAAAATTAAACGAGAAGGACTCGCAGGAGTAAAAACATGTCGTGCCGCTTGATTAAGTTGTTTGCGCATGCGTATGTGTTGAATTGAAATTTTCGATATTTGCGGGTCGTGAATTGAGAAAAAGAGGGAGAGCCAAACGTAAAAACATCAAAACATTAAATGTCAAACTGCCAACAAGTTTGAAACTGTTTGTGCACCGCGCTGACAAATAAGATAGAAAGGGCCATTGTCCATGCGAAGCTCGTCCTGTGCTTCCTTCCACTCCCCCCGCCTCACTGCGTTGCGCTGCTGGAAAGTCAAAGGGGGGTGGTGGTGCCACTCAGCCGCCTTTGGTCGCGTGCAGATGTTTGCAATGTTTGTGCAGCGGAGCGCGTACGCCTGTGCAGGACTGTGCAGGACTCGTGACTTCCTTCATGCTTTACGCTCGAGATGCATCGGAGGCCCCCGGAAGCTTTTTGTCGCGCCCGGCAGAGAGAGAGGAATTAAAAAGCGTCCGCAATCGAGATTTAATTCGGGCGCAAGCAGTGCGTAAATTACACGAAAGCTTAATTAATAAAATAAGGACTGCAAGGCGCAAAAATCAAGGACGGCAGCTCGAAAATTATCAATTATCAAATGCGTAGTAGCGTTCGGTCCGGTTTTGAAATTTTAAAGAGCTGCGCGATTCAAGCGCACCCCTTGCGGAGTTTAGGGGTTGGTGGATAAGCGGCGAAAACTCCTTTTACTGCTGGGCCGCGCGGCATAATGGAGTAATGCGAACGCGACGAAACGACGAAAATCGCGCACTGCAAAAAGGGTATAGGCGAAAAGTGGCGAGGGGCGGCGGTGGGGCGGCCGAGATGAGAGAAAACACCAAATGGTGCACATGTTGTCGGCGCCCGTTGCTTTCAATTTCTAAATTTATATTTTACGACGATTGCAGCTTTTCTACGTTTCCCACTCGGAGAAGGGCGCGAAGGGCGTTAATATTAATTCATAAATCACGATTTCCTTATGATATTAATGACTTCTTTCGAGGACTTTACTCGCAAAAAAAGCGAAAAATTTAAAATTTCACAAAAAATTATTTCCTGCTGAAATTTTTGAGTTTAGACTAAAGTTTAGGGTGGTTAAGTTAAGATTGCCGGCGGCTGTCTGCGATAAGATAAGGTGGCGGTGGCAGTGGAGGCGGCAACGCTGTCGGAATGGCACTTTAATTACACTAATGGGAGAACCGAATGTTAATTACAATTCAAAGTCGAAAAAGTGCGACGCGCTTCGCAAAATCTCTAAAATAGCAATTTAGAGGGTGGTTTACACCCTCCGGATTTAAAAATGATGCACATTGATGCATCTGCGACCCACGAAATGAATTGCGTCTTTTTTATCGTTTACCAATCAATTCCGCAGTTAATTAATCAAAAACAAACAAAAAACGACACCTAACATAACCTCAAATTTATAAAATCATTTTTCTCTTTCAGAATTACTTCAAACCGAAAACGCGAGAGGAAAAGCACGCAGATAAGAAGACAGCTGAGAATTCTACACTGATACTGCCGCTACAAGTAAAGATAAAACAGGAAATCGACGAAGAAGTTGTGGTCGACCCCGATGAGGAGGATATCTGTCGGGTTGAAGGTGAGTGCTTGATAATAATTTTCATTTTCATCCATGTGCGTTTTAATCAACTTCATAAATCGTCGTGACTAGAAATGCGATTTTTTAACGTTTTTTTTTCTTTCGTTTTTTGCGTTAGCTGGGAAAAATAATTGTTAAAACTTTGCGCAGTAATGAAAAATTTTCCGCAGGTAAAAATATAAGGGTGAAAAATAAACGGATCTTCTTCGTTTCTTAGAGAGAAAGACTTACGCAAAAGTCGCGCGCAGAAAAGTTCACAAACAATCTTAATACTCGAACGCTGCATATTTCTTCGTCTTGTTTTTCTGCGTTTTTCTCCCGGCGCAATTATTTCAAACAAGTCGTGAAGAATTTTCATAAGACATTCTCACTTTGTCGAGACGTACTTTGGGAAATTTTTGTAAAAATCTTAACGTTTTATTGTGCATTATGAAAGAAATTCATTTCCTTATTTTCGCTGTGCATGTTGCGTTGTGTGTGAGGGTTGGAAAATCTTTAAAGTCTCTGGGATGTAGAATCTATTTAAATCCTTAAGGCATTAACATATGCGGGCGCGTTATTTACGAGCGGAGTGCATACGTGCGCACGGTGTTTCGTTCTTCGTTTTTGGCGGCGGGCGGCTGCGGAGGCGGCAGCGCAGCAGCAGTCGAGTGAGGGCTGAAATCTGAAATTTATAAATTTCGAAATGTGCAAGTTAGGAATATACGGGCAATATGCTCTGGCAAGCGGGCGATGATTTAGAATTGCATTTCGGGAGACTGTTGGAGGCGGCGGAGCCGGCCGAGATATGAATATATACATGACGATGAATAACATCTAGTTTCTCGCGGGCCATATATGTAATCATAACATTCGTATTACAGGGATGTATTATTTATTGTCGGGGATATAAAAATACAGAATGAAAAAATTATTCGTTTGATTCAATTTTGAATTATTCAAAAACTATTGAAGTTATCGGTACACAAATTTCAGGAGTTATTACTGAGTTATTTGGCTATCGAAATATAAGTACAAAATTAGTAATGCTTTTGTGGTTATTTCGGAAAAAATGATTTTACAATGGAAATAAATTTGGAGAGAAAAAATGCAAAAATTAGAATTAAGTCACATTTGAGCTTTGATTATGGTAAATCGCGCATGCGTAGAATTAAAATTTATATTCTATATTATAGATAATTTCAAGGGCTTTAATTTGATATATCTTTCAAGAAAATCACTCCACGCAAAGTTAAGTTATCACTAAAAAACTAAACACACTTCAAAAATAAGTCAAACACAAGCAAATTTACACTTAAAACTCTACTTTAAAGCGTAAAATTTAAACCAAGGGCAGTATGAGCATCGTTTGAGGCAGCACTGCGGGATGGTAAGCCAGTGTTCGATATAATAGCGGGAGATTCCTTCGCGCGACCGCAGCGCAGCGCAGCTCGGGTTCCTTGCGGGGGGCGGCCGGCAGCGGAGAGCACATCCGCGCTCGCCTCGTCTTTGCCGCTTGCTCTCGGCCCCCGAACGTCTCGCAACCGCACATTTCAACCCCATCCTCAGCCGGCCACCTCCTTGCTCGCCTGCTTTGCTTGCGAGAACGACCCCAGCGTGCATTCCCGCTGCCGCCGCCGCCGCCGCCGCTCGCACTAGTATAAGTAGTACGCGCGCACCGTGCGAGCGACGACAAGCGGCACACGAGGGGTGGCCGCTGGGGGAGCGTTTTACTGTTTTATTGATTAATTGAGTTCGGCGGTGCGCGCCGCGGCGCTCTTCACGGATTTCGGCTTTTATTGCGTTTTATAGTGCAGTTATCAGCTTTATGACCGATGCGAAACCAACTATTTATTTTTTTCTCTCCCGAGATGAGAATCACGCGGAATTGAAGAGCGTTCTTTTTGTGGTTTTGTCTTTATTGAGGTATCTGCTGGTTGAGTTTATTGTCCTTGCTCGAGGGAGGCGAAAAACGAGGATTGTAAAGACCATCGTAAACCCTCCCAGCGATAATCCATAATTATTATCGTTTTACGACGATTATCAATATTATTGCCGACCCGCCGACACCGATGATGGTCATCAAATTGTTTTCCCATTATCCTTACGACATACAACTTCAAACAATTTATCCTTAAATTTCTTTCTTCGTAATAATAATTCAATTCATAATATTTCATCATGTTGAGTCGCAGGGAGGACAGTCTTTGTTAGGAGATGATTAACTATTTATTAATTATTGTAATTAAAAGATTTATCGGCTTGTAACGTGCGCATGTAGCACTTTATCATAAGCTAGTCCTGTTGGGGTCCTGCAAGGCGCCCATATGTTCCCGCTCGGCTTCCTTGAAACTTCACTTCGGGCGTCTTTTCTTGGCGCCACGCAACGCCTTCGCTCGTCTTTGTTGGGCTTGCCCAAAGTTTGAATCCTTCTCCTGTTGGGGGTGCGTTTCCGTTGTATCCCGGTGGGTTTACCTCGGACTAGTGCGCCTCATTTGGCCGGTCGAAACACATCCGCGCGCATAAATTAGGCGCAAAGTTTCGGCAAGAAATTACGCTAAGCTTTCAGGTCCTGTGGAAGGACTAAATTTTAAACTGTGTATAAAATTAAACACAATTGATATAGACTAAAGGTTGATGTGATATTGAGTAGTAAAGAGTATTTTAGAACAATTTTTGTTTGATTTTTAGAGAATTAGAAGAAAATTTTGAATTTTTTGATAATTTTAGACATTTTTCTCAATTTTTCATTCGTGATCAATAATTTATGATGTATTTTAAGGATCTTTAGGTTTTGACTTTAAAAAATACGAAAACACACAAGAATTTTGATAAAATTCAAATTTTTTGCAAAAAAAATTTATTTTTTATTTCAAGGTCAAAACTAAGGCGATAATAGTACCTAATATTCCTGGAATCAAAGGATAAACGTTTCAGCTGATATATTTTCCGTATTTTCCAACTCACCACGCATTCATTTCCTCCACGCCGCCGATTTATTCCTCATTTTTTGTGCGCGCGTCCTCTTTGTCCTTTCAGCCGGCGCTGACAAGCATTTTTACAAATGATTCCACTTGCGTTCGCCCTTTTTTCCCATCGCACGGGCCGCCTTCCGCATGCATCGAATGCGATATCCTGTCGGCGGCTGGCTGGCTGGCGGTGGCGGCGCGGAATCTACAGGTGGCCTCGTGCACGACGGCAGAGCGGCGGCATTGGCGCTTCACGCCGCGCTATGAGATAACGCATTTTTTCGCCTTTCGCGTGCCTTTTGTGCGCCCGCTTTTCCCATTTCCCATGCTCTCAAAGGGAATCCTGGTGAAAAGGCGTGAATACCACTGGCGGGGCGCGCGAAAAGAGCCTAAAGGACTCAGTGACGCTCCTTTGAAAAACGAGAGACAACAAATTGTCACTTTACGGGGCAACACCCGCAAAACCTCAAAAGCCACTCAACGAGATAACACAGCGAACAGCTTCTGATGTTTATTTTAACCTAAAAAAGCGTTGTACTTATTTTAATCAATCAAATAAGCGGAAATTTAGATACAGGCATATACAGATCAAAAAATGATAACAACATACTCAGTTTACATGGGTTTGTGGTGGGTGTAAGGTTGAGGGGTTGATTTTAGAGGGTGTGAGCAGTTTGTGCTAATGGCTCGCATCGATAAGATAGGTTTCCGGTTTTTGTGGCGCTCTTGATTTCAACATTCGTAGAATTTAATTTCCTTTTCGTTCAGTTCGTTCACGCTGGTCTACAATTCCATTCATAACCTTCAAAACTCACTCGCTGAATGAGTATGAAAGTCATGCGAGGGATGAATAACTTTTCAATTTTAAAAGAAAAAACAATTTTTAGGTTAGGTTTGATACATATGACATTTATTTTGTAGGTTATGTATTAATTGACAGCCATTTTCTATAATTTTCCTTTAAAAAAGCATAATTTTAATGTTTTTTGGTTTAATTTTCATAGTCTTGTGGCCTTTATCCACTCAGATAGTCCTCGGTAAGGACTACGCATACGCAGTGGTGGTGGTAGTGCTCGAGCAGAGATTACACGTGAATTATTACACAAAGATATCTAATTGTTGCCGCAGGCTGAACTCGGGGTGGCGCGCCCCCGCGCATAGGGCGACTTGACCCAGCTGCACGAGCACAACCCCTGATTATGAACCAGCGCTCTAGCTCTTAACTAAACTCGCATCATGAGCACAAAAACTCTCTTATCAAGACAAAAATTTTCTTAACTTGAAAAACGTTTTATTTTGTTTCTTACACGAATTCAATGTGTGTGTATGTGAGTGTGCATTGATGCATTAACGAAAGCTTGCAGGGATAATTTCCTTTCAAGAGGCTCCTGCTCCTGCGGCAGGATTGTAGCTCCGCGTGTGGAAGAGAATAACAGGCGAGAGATGCTTACTAATTTCAATAGATTAACCGCGAAACGCGCTGGCATTTTGGCTGGCTGCTAAATCGAGTTATTTGTAATTAACCGAGTGCCTAACCGACGCGCGAGCGCCGCCGCAGGATTAATGACCGACCTTCGATTATTTAGGAATTAATTATTTCTCTTTATTGCGCGCGCTGTTGTTGCAACACGAAATTTATTCACTATTGAATCTGACTATAAATCAACGATGTAAAATCTAAAATTTTAACCAAAAAATTAAATTTTTATTTGTTCACGGTGCATTTGATGCGTTTACATTTTATTTTATGCGACCGCACTTGAGTTATCCCGGCCGGATGCGCACTAAAAACGTAATAAAGCTGTCGGTGCAGCGGGTGGCTTGTGGGGGTGGCCGTTTGTCGTCGCGCGAGCGTGAAGCGCGTAAAAACCGAGGGCCGGCGCCGTAACTGACCTGTTACGACGATATAAGGACATAAGACGCGATAAACCTCGTGTAAGAAGCACTCTCTCGTCCTTTCCACCCTCTTTTTAGCTATTTTTTTCTTTTCGTCCTTGTAAGCTGTTGATACGTGGGGACAATTGGAAGGAATGTGTCGACGGTTACTTCACT